TTTTATATTCACATTAATCATCATATTAACATGGAGCCTGCGTTAGATAGCAATGTACATTAGCAAATAACAACTTCTAGATTGAGGATGGCAACGGGTCTGCAGAGTCGAAGAATCCCTCCCTGTTCCCGTTCCTATGAATGGCGAGGACGGAGATCCTCGCCAGGGATTTTTGATAGAAGGTAGATTTTGCCTTTCATCCTCATTCTTCGTCACTTAATATTAAAATATGAATTTTTTTTGTATATAATTAATTAATATTCAATTATAATAAATAAAATTTCTAAAAATTCAAGTACAATTAACTAAAATTTTTTAAATGTAAAATCAAATATAAATTGTTCAAATATAAATAATGATCAATCCAATATAAATAGCTAAACTAACAAACTTGGTCCAAATATAAATAAAAATTAATTCAACATAAACAGCTAATTCAACATACTTATTCCAAACATGAGCAAAAATCAATCCAACATAAAATCAATAACTAAACCAACATCCAAATTCCAACATGAAAGGAGGCAGCCAACTCAAAACACCTTAGCTCTCAAAATCCACATTTGCTCATCAAAAAAACCTACAGTAGTCCAACAGTAGTAGTCCAGTAGTTTGGCAGCCGTCCAGTTGCAGCTCTAGCAATGTAGTCCAGCTCCAGCAACAACTACAACAGATTAGTAGCAGATTAGTAGCGGCAATGGAGAAATGAGTGAAAGTGAGGGCAGAAGGGTGAGAAGGGTAGAACTCGAAAGGGCAACAATGAAGATTTGAGATTCTTGAAGAGTGCTGATGGCAGAAGGGGCGGGGAAGGTGGGAGTGATGAGAAATGAGTAAGGTTAGAGTTAAATGATTAATAATGAGTTGGGTTAATTTGTATGGGTTGGGTAAAATTGAGTAAGTTTAATTTTTATTGGATTTGGTTTGGATTTGGGTTTGAAGGTTGAATTAAATTTAAAATAAAATTAATTTTTTATATATTTTTAAATTTTTTACAAGGATGGGGGATCCCTATGGGAACTTGTGGAGCCCCCCTACATGGCGGGAAAAATTTCCCATGAAATTTTGTAGGAGGAAAATGCCCCACATCCCCCACCTTGCAAGGAGGAACATTCCTCCTCGTTCGATCCTCATGGCAGGGATCCTTGTGGGACCTCATGGGGATCGAGATAAATTGCCACCCCTATTCTAGATTGCTATCTCCCTTGCAAGTGCGAGCAAAAGGTCATCCTCTATATAAAAAAAAAAGAAGAAGAAGGAAAGTAATCTATTGTACAGAAAATTGTAGAGCAGAAGAAGTAAGAAAAAGATAATAGTAAGATCATTT